CATATATATATATATATATATATATATATATATATAAATAAATGAAATTTAAACTTCATAATGTCGTACTTGTACTTCTGACCGACCTCTATATATTTTATATGATATTATCACTTCTTAGAGTGTCGGAACGGTCTTTTGCTGTCTACCTCTTTTGTATCCCGCAATATTGTACTTCCTCTATGTATTTTATATTTCCTCTATATATTTTATATGACACAATTACTACTCAGAGAGTCAAACCGGTCTATTCCTATCTACTTATTTTGAATCCTAAACTATTGTAATTTTTTGGAGTAGTATCTTTTTGTAGTCCCAAAATATGTTAATTTTATTTTGATCCAAGTGAAGAGTCGGTGTTCAACTTCACACACACAAATATTTACATATTTTGGTCCATGTATTTGAATCCTGCCATGAATTTGTGATGTTTGTTAGTTATCTTACAGTTTAAAGTACTAAATTGGAACGAGCTACAGTGCCAATTTCAGGTGCAGGACAAGGCAAATGATGGCCAAGGAAATGAAGTTCACCCAGCTTATCAAATGGTTCAACCAAATAAGCCTCCAGTGAGTGCTACTTATCCTAGCTAATTTGTTGGTGTTGTTAATCCTAAAAACACTATTTGGTGATATAAACTTCATAAAGTCGTACTTGTACTTCTTGCAAAAATACTTCCTCTATATATTTTGTATAACACGATTACTACTCAGAGAGTCAAACCGATCTTTTCCTGTCTACCTATTTTAAATCCTAAAATGTTGTAATCTAAATTTTATGGAGAAGTACCTTTTTTGTAGTCTCAAAATATGTATATTTTATTTCGATTGAAATGAAGAGTTAATGTTCAACTTCACAGAGATAATTACATATTTTGAACCATGTATTTGAATCCCGACATGAATTTTGGAACGTTTGTTAGTTGTCTTGAAGTTTAAAGTACTAAAATAGCACTAGCTACCGTGCCAATTTCAGGTGCAAAAGGAGGCAAATGATGGCCAAGGAAATGAATCTAACCCAGCTTATCAAGTGGTTCAACCTTGTAACATTCCAGTAAGTGCTGTTTATGTCGGTGTTGTTTATGCTAAAAACACTATTTGGTGATTTAAACTTCAGAAAGTTGTACTTTTGCCTCCTGCAAAAATACTTCCTTGATATATTTTTATTTATGTGACATTATGACTATAGAGTTGAACCGATTTTTTCTTGTCTACCTATTTTGAATCCTAAAATATTGTCATCTTAATTTTATAGAGTGTTACCTTTTTTCTAGTGTTTAAATGTATAAAATTGTATTTCGATCTAACTGAGGAGTCATATTCAACTTCACATGGATAATTACATATTTTGATCCATGTAAGTGAATCCTGCCATGAATTTTGGAACATTTATTAATTAACTTACTGTTTAAAGAACTAAAATAACTCTAGCCAAAGTACCAATTTCAGGTAGAAGGGGATGCGAATGGTAGCCAAGGAAATGAATTTCACCCGGCTTGTCAAATGGTTCAGCCTCATAAAATTCCAGTAAGTAGTGAACTACCTTGTAAACCTTCATCGAATTAACAGTAACAAACTATTTAGGCGAATTTGGTGGTTTCTTTTCTTCATCCCCCGAAAAATAAGTTGAACACTTGCTGAGAACTAACAAAACTTAATTTTTTGATGTTATTTATGTAGGCTTCTTTCATCAGTAACCAAGCAATTCCAGCGCCCCTGACTAATTTATCTCCTGAAGCGCAGTTCAACATTGATGATTTTTTAATGGAAGAGGCAGATGATGTGCAAGGAAATAAATTTCACCTGGCTAATCAAATGGTTCAGCCTCATAACATTCCAGTGAGTGATTGTGACTTTCAACACTGCATGTTTAAAATACCTTGCAAACTTTATCTAAATCCAAATAACACTAGCATATTGTTTATCCTGGGTAATTTGTAGTGTTGTTTATTCTAAAAAATAATGAGGTACAACATCTGCTCTTATCAATATAAAACATCTGATATGTGGGCCATTGGTCCACATGATATTAACATTTTTTTCAGGGGGGAGACTCGCTAAGGTAGCTTGCTGCTACCTGGGCCTTCACACACTGCCTAGGCGTTGCACGTCAGGCTTGCCCTCCCTTCCCCCCCTCCCCCACCCACACACACACACAAACGCCCGCCCACACACATATATATATATATATAAAAAGAAATTTAAACTTCAATAAGTCGTACTTGTGATGACATCTCCAAAAATCTTTTCTTTCTCCATTTCTCTCCATCCTTCTTATTTTTTTCTGCCCTAGAAACACATTATTCATCATTTTGGTACCTGCCATCATTACTACCTAAGAGAGTCAAAACTATCTATTGCGGTCTACCTCTTTCGTGTCCTGAAATATTGTAATTTAAGTTTTATGGGGTAGTAACTTTTAAATAGTCTCACAATATGTAAATTTTGTTTCAATTTAATTTAGAAGTCAATGTTCAACTTCACACATGTAATTACATATTTTGATCCTTGTATTTGAATCCTGTCATGAATTTGGAACGTCTACTAATTATCTTATAGTTTAAAGTACTAAAATAGCACTAGCAGCAGCAGCTGTACCAATTTCAGGTGCGAGGTGAGGAAAATGATTGCCAAGGCAATGAATTTGACCCAGCTTATAATGTTCATCCTAATAACATTTCGGTGAGTTATAATGACTTTCAGAACTACATGTGCAAAACCTTCATCACTATTGACAGTAGCGTGCTGTTTATCTAGGCTATTTTTTGGTATTGTTCATCTTAAAAAAACTATGAGGTGATTTAAACTTCATAAAGCCGTACTTGTACTTCCTGCAAAATGCTTCCTCTATATATTTTATATGACTCTATTACTAAGAGTGTCAAACTGATTTTTTCCTCTGTACCTATTTTGAATCCTAAACTGTTGTAATTTTAATTTCTTGGAGTACTACCTTTTTTGTTGTCTCAAAATATGTATATTTGTTTCAATCTAAATGAATAGTCAATGTCCAACTTCACACAGATAGTTGCATAATTTGATCCATGTATTTGAATCTTGACATGAATTATGGAACTTTTGCTAGTTATCTTATGGTTTAAAGTAGTAATATAGCACTAGCTACAATGCCAATTTCAGGTGCAGGCGGAGGCAAATGATGGCCAAGGAAATGAATTTCACCCAACTTATCAAATGGGTCAACCTAATAACATCCCAGTAAGTGAAACTACCTTGTAAACCTTCATCCAAATTAACAAAAACGAACTGTTTAGGCGGATTTGGTGGTTTGCTTATCTTCATCCCCCAAAAAATAAGTTGAACACTTTCTGAGAACTATCACAACCTAATTTTTTGATGTTATTTATGTAGGCTTCTTTCATCAGTGCCCAAGGAATTCCAGCACCTTTCATGCTACCACCTCTGATTAATTTATCCCCTGAACCTGAGTTTGACATAGATGAATTTTTAGTGGACATTGGGGAGGGATTTTAAAGTGGGAGTTAAACTCAGTTACTAGGTATTTAGCCTTTTTAATAGACAAAAAAAAGTGTTATGTTTTAGGACTTACTGCTGAAAGAATGCAGTGTCTGTGTTAAGTGGTGTAAGCACTGCTTTTGTTCAATGTTTAAATAAATAAACACTTCAATGAGAGGTGAATGAAGTCTTGCTTCTGGATACATTGACCCTTATTTCCTTTTTTAAAAAAAATTAAAAAAAAAAAGCAAATTTGGGTGATGGTACATTTTTATTGTAGTAAACAAATAATTTTCTAATTTCTAGATGCTTATATATCTAATCTCATTATTTTTGTTCCCTCATTATTGATATATCAATGGATATTCCAATATAAGAAGAAAAGGTGAGGGAATAACTCTTAAAACGAGTTGTAAATGCATATTGCAGGACAGGTGTCAACAGGTGCTCAAAATTAAGATGCCTCAAAATCTTACTAAATTTTATGCTTCTCAAATTTTCTAAAATTCCTTCATAAAGTTAAAATTCCCACTTATAGCGTTTAAAGTCCATATGCATCTGAGTTTTCTGGTGCGTAAGCGATGACGGTTTAATATTTTTATTTTTGGGAAAATGCAACTTTGAGTAGTCTGTTAATGAGGATATTTTAACTTAATTAAGTCAAGAGTCCATCACAAACATTAGATAGACATATCACCTTCAAATTCAACTTATGAAATTAATCAAAATGACAAATTCTGTATACATTTGCTAGAATTTATATGGTGTATGTTTGAATAAACTTATAAAAAGTAACTTATAAACGCTTTTTAACTATTAAAACTCGGCTGATCCAAACTTACTTATAAACAAAAGGGTGCAATTCCATAAAGGGGAAGTCCAAAAATGGTACCAACTGTATAGGGAGGCATAACTCTTTCCTCTTTTAGATACTTGCTTTGATTCCATTTATTTATAACATGATATGATATTTGTTCCCTTTGACTCTTCCACCAATAATATAACATGCTTTTATAGCAATGGACGAAGGTTTTTGTATAGAGTATTTTTAAAGTTGCAATCTTGGTTGTATTTATGCATATAACTTTAAATTTTTTATCACATTTTAAAATTAACTTTGATACGTGTCGAGACCCTTTTTTTTGTTCTTAAATTTTATTACTTTTTTCTTCAAAAAGTATTTATCTTTAAAAAGTGAGGTGCTTGATCAACTTTTGAAAGAAAATAAGTATTTTTGAAAAATTACAAAAGTTGTTTTTACTCCTAGAAGTTAAAGATGGTATGTTTTTTTTTTTTTTTTTAAAAAAAAAAATACTATGAAAAGAATATACTTAGAAATTTTATTTGTAAAAAAATTTGCCAAATATTAATTGATGCTCAAAAGTGTTTTTAAAATTTATTATTCTAGTTAAACACAAACTATTTCTCCTCAAAAATACTTTTTAAAATAAGCTGAACGTAATATAATTATAGACCGAGGGAATAACTTTTTTTTTCATGGTGGCGTATGCAGTATACATATATGTATGAAATCGGATATTCCATATATATTTTTAGTGCAATTTTTTCTTCTTTTTTATAATACTCCATTTGTAATATGATAAAATAAAGTATATACGCTTAATAGGGAACTCTAAATTGCCGTTATTATATCTATTTCTATACTTGTGATTTGACTAGAAATAAGAATAATGCTAAAGCTTTTGGGGTGTGTCCAATGCCCATTTACTTGACCAAAAAAATAATAGGAATAATATCCAAAAATTGGAATATGATATTTTAATATAGATGGATCATTGTGATACGAAATTTGTGATGGGGGATTAATCTTCAACTTCACTTTTTTCTCCATGTTCCCCCGCCACTTGCAATGTCTCATGTCTCTCTTATGCAAAGTTAATCCCTCACCCAATATAGTCTGTTCGGAGTGATAAAATTAGCTCATGAAAATATGATTCATTCATTTTATTTAAGATTGAATGGATTATTAACTTGCTCATTTATTGATTCAACATATTTTGATCTGTACAATTAAGTTGATGAACTGAAATAATATGTAACTAATGAAAATTTTGTCAAGAAGATTTTTTTATATGTATTTACAAAAATAAATAAAGAAATTAAATCTTAATGAAAATTAATTAATGTATTAGATTATAACCCTCTCGATTCTTCTTTGAACAGGCATAAACACAGGATAATATTTTTCTTATTGCATTTTAAAAGGTACATTTCTTAAAGAAGAGAAGAAAATACGTCATAATTAAATCTTTTATTTATTTTCATACCTCAAGCATTTTTTGTGGCTAATTACTGTTGCAAAGAATTAGTGTTGATTCGTTTGGCACCAACAAACTCCGTGTGATTATATTCTAATTAATCCACTAAAGATGAAAGCTTTACGTGACGCATCACCAAATTAATGCAAATTATATACTCATTTTTAAGTCTTAACCCCACATATACTCCTTTACAAGCCACTATTTCTGGATTTCTTAAAAGGTCGAGTGCACTAATCATTATACAAAAAATTACCTAAATACACATCTTACTTTATCATAATTTCTAAAACTCTCTATCATTTAAAAAAAAAATTCAAAAATCCCTTTTCGGATACATCACTCCCCTCTCGCTGATACATTCTTATCCCCTCTCAGATACGTCACTCCCTTCTCCCCTCTCGCTGAAACATCCCTATCCCCCTCTCAAATACATCCCTCCCACTCGGATGCGTCCCTCCCCTATGTATCCGAATGTCATATCCCCTCTCTGACCGTCCCTCCCCACTCGGTTACATCTCTCCCCTATGTATCTAAATGTCTGCTAATGTATCCTGAAGTTCAAGTGATGTATTCGGAATTCATTAAATTTAAGCGATTTTTATAATTTGAAAGAGGAGTTAATATCTTAAAAGGTCATTGAACTATGCAAAATCATCTAACAAAGTCATTAAAGTTTGTTTTATATCAATAAAATCACTCAACTTACTAGTTTTATCTCCAAAAATCACTCAACTACATTTTTCATTAAACTATATTTGACATGACTAAATAAATTATTTTTTATGCCACCTAATCATCGCAATGAATAAAATTATAAAGTCAATATTTTTATGTCCTGATATTAGTTACATTTTTTCACGTTTGATTCGGATTTGGGAATCGAATTCCATTTTAGCATATGAATTTTATAGAATTTAGGAATCGAATTCCATTTTAGCATATGAATTTATACAATTAGTAAATTTGAATCCTAATTCAAAAAACACTTCAATGCTTTAAAAGATACTTAAAAGCCTCGGTCATGCCTCACTGGAACCAGTTACATGACAACCAAGTTGAACTTTGTTTTTATTTTTTTTAAAAGGATAAATTTGACACACAAGTCACATAAACAGATTTTAGAACATAAAATTAATTAGTATAGAGGATTATAAGCTAACCTAGGTGAAGGCAAAGAGAAGTGAAGCAGGAAAATAGTTCGTTGAAGTTGCAATTCTCCTAAGACCAAAGAACCTAGAAACGCTACTGATTATTTTGCAAAAAGAAAATCAGGCGAAGAAGGAGAAAAAAAGCATAATTACCTGGCATAAAAATAAACAGATTATATAATTTTATTATTTATTTATGAGATTGTGATTACCTGGCATAAAAATAAATATAATTTTATAATTTTGTTGGATTCATGATTGGGATAAAAAGTAATTTAAATTGTCATATCAAATTTATTGTCATGATAAATGTAGTTGAATGGTTTTTTAAGATAAAAACCTTAAGTTGAGTGACTTTATTGATACAAAACAAAGTTCAATGACTTTACTAGATAATTTTCTATAGTTCAATGATCTTTTAAGATATTAACTCTTTGAAAAAGAGTAGGGAAATAATGTAATTAGCTCTTAACACTATGAGATTTATGTAAATTATATCATTATTATATACTCCTTCCGATCCATATGACGTATCATACCGTATTTTTAACTTTTACATTTTGTTCAAAATAAGTAATTTTAATGTAATTAAGAATGTATTAATATTATTTAGTTTTTCAAATTTACGCTTTTTTTTTATAAGTGGGTTTTAACGTAACCAAGAAATGATATTAAATAGGGAAAATTGTACATAATGACAAACTATTAATTCAAATTAAATGGTATAATCACACTTTGATTTAATTGTGTCCTGTAGCAAACTGTTTGCCAACGCCTCTCTCCCTCAAACTCTCGCTCGCCACTCTCCTCTCTTGCTCACTCTCTCTGTGGTCGCCTCTCTCGCTTTATACACAGAAGTGTATAAATTGCGTTTCTGTTTGTATAAAGCGAGAGAAAATTGTATATACACATGCAAATACATATATATTCGTCCTATACACTTATAATTATACAATAAAAATATTC